AGAAAAATTGCTGTAAGTGGAACTTTTTCTGACCCATAGTATTTGTGCTTCTCTTACCTGAAGCAGTGAAATTTGGATTTTCACAATGATTAAATGCTGTCTAAGGAGCTGACAGCACAGACAAGGGATAAGTCTTTCAGGACAACCTTGTACCAAATAGAGTAGGTCTTATTGCAAGGATTAAAAGAAGTCTTTCCTATAGAGAGACAAATACTTGAATCTAGTAACCACAGATCTTTGATAATGTAAATGTTTGAAAGGCATGGTTGTCTGATAACAGCATTTCAGTCCCTGCACCTGAAAGCATTCTCAAGAATAAGAAAGATTATCACAGAAACATGGTGGGATGGCTCCTATGACTGGAGTGTTGGGATGGAAGGTTACAGTCTCTAGAAAAGACAGGTCTGGCAGATGGAGAGGGAGAGTTGCCCTTTATGTTAGGGATAGTCTGGAGAATATGGAACTCTGGGGACAGGTGAGCAGTCAACAGAGGTTAAAGGGAGAACAGTGATGGGAGACATTACTGTGGGCATCTGTTACAGACCGCCTGATCAAGGAGAACCTGTGGCTGAAGCACTCCATAGACAGATAGGAAAAGCCTCACGCTCGCAGGCCCTTGTTCTCATGGGTGACTTCAACCACCCTGACATCTGTTGGAAGGGCGGTACGGCCCAGCACAAGCAATCCAGGAGGTTCCTCGATTGTGTGGAAGACAACTTCCTTCTGCAAGTAATAGAGGAGCCGACAAGGAGAGGTGCCATGCTTGACCTCGTGCTCACCAACAGGGAAGGGCTTGTTGGAAATGTGATGCTCCAGGGCAGCCTTGGTTGCAGCGGTCATGAGATGCTTGAATTTGAGATCCCCAGGACAGCGAGAAGAGCGTGCAGCAAGCTCACTGCCCTGGAATTCAAAAGAGCAGACTTTGGCCTCTTCAGGTACCTGCTTAGTAAGGTTCCATGGGATACATCCCTAGAGGGCAGGGGGGCCCAAGACTGTTGGTTGATATTCAAGCATCACCTGCTGCAAGCTCAGGAGTGTTGCATCCCAACTAGAAGGAAGTGCAGCAGGAGGGTCAGGAGACCTCCTTGGATGGATAAAGAGCTCCTGAGGAAAATTCAAATGAAAAAAGGGGCTTATAAAATGTGGAAGAAAGGACAGGTGGCATGGGAAGAGTACAGGGATGTTGTCTGGGAAGCTAGGGACCAGGTTAGGAAAGCTAAGGCCCAGTTAGAATTAAACTTGGCTAGGGATGTTAAGGATAACAGGAAGGGATTCTACAGGTACATAGCAAATAAAAATCAGACTAGGGAGAATGTAGGCCCCCTCAGGAAGCTCTCGGGAGAACTGGCTACACAGGATTTGGAGAAGGCTGGGGTTCTGAATGACTTCTTTGCCTTGGTCTTCACTGGCAAAGGCTCTGACCAAACCACCCATGTCTTGGAAGGCAGATGCAGGGACTGTGAGAATGAAGACCTTGCGCCCACTGTAGGAGAGGATCTGGTTGGAGACCATCTTAAAAATCTGAACATGCACAAGTCCATGGACAAGGGGTTAAAACTTAAACAGGGGAAGTTTAGATTGGATGTAAGGAGGAAGGGTGCCTCACTGTAAGGGTGGTGAGGCACTGGAATGGGTTGCCCAGGGAAGCTGTCAATTCTCCATCCCTGGTGGTGTTCAAGGCCAGGTTGGACAGAGCCTTGAGTGACATGGTTTAGTGTGAGGTGTCCCTGCACGTGGCAAGGGGGTTGAACTAGATGATCTTAAGATTCTTTCCAACCCTAATTATTCTATGATTCTAAAAGGGAAAGCAATAAGAAATAACTGGCATGTCTTTTCTTCTCAACGTGGGTCTGGTCCCCCAGACTTCACCTATCCACAGTTCAAGGAGAGTTTGAGGAGAGGAGATGAAGAGATGGAACTCCAAGCGGGCAGTAGGAAGATAAAGAGCATAGGGGCTTCCTGACTGCCTTTAGAGAAAGGCACACATTTGAGTGGAAGCACTTCTGTGCTTATTTCAGGCTAGGTTTCTGCTATTGTCACATCAGCTTCTGTTCAGAGCCCTGGCCCTATGTTAGCACTGCACAGCATTGTCCTTCCAAGCAAAGCCTCAGACTCATCTGAAGCTATCTTTTCCTTTCAGGTGGATCAGTCTTTGGCTTTTTTCTTGCAGTCATACTCCTTCAGAGGATGGTCATTGTTTCATATCTAGCTGCAAACCTGTCACCTACCTTGTTGGCAGCTCGGTGCCCTCATTAAATGCATCCCAAGACTGATTTTTTTTTACAATTTCTGTGCTACATGTTTCTTTAGTCCTGTAAGTATCATGTTAGATCAATTCCACTGTACTGTGTAGAGCAAGCTAACAAGAGACTAGAAAGACCCTCCTCCATCAGTATAAGCAAGTTGGTCACGTGTTGGCCTTTCCCCCTTAATGCGTTGTTAGGACTTTAATAGCTTAGTGTTTCTTCAACATAATTATGGTGGTATTTTCTCAACATAATAAGTTTTAGTTTCTTTCTGCATTTCTGTTTCTTGTTGTCTCTTCAAGCTGCAGGTCCTTGTGTGTATCATAGAATAGTTAGGGTTGGAAAGGACCTTAAGTTCATCCAGTTCCAGTCCCCTGCCATGGGCAGGGACACCTTCCAATAGACCAGGTTGCTCAAGGCCCTGTCCAACCCGACCTATATTTAAGTCTCCTTTTGAAATCTGCTCTCAGGGGGTTCATCCTAAAGGAAAAAACTGGGAATGTTTTGTTTGCTGTTTTGTTTGTTTTTTTTTTTTTTGGGGGGGGGGGTGGGGTGGTGGTGGTGGTTTGTTTTTGGTTGTTTTTGGTTTTGGTGTGTTTTTTTTTTTTTAATCCTTTTATTTCAATAAATGTATCTCTATAGATTAAAAGACCTATTAATTCCCACTAAAATGCAGGTTTACATGTTTGGAGGTATACTAGCTATTCCAGTTGTATCCCAGTGTAATGGTGTGACATAAATTTTAAGGAAGACTTTTCAGCTATGGTAACTTGAATGAATAATCATGAATCTAAAATGTTCCTTTTCAGGAGATAACCAAAGAAACAAACAGAAAACCCAAATGTAGCCTGTCCTTTTTATTTTTTTTTGTATTCTTCTTCTGTCTTTGCTTTATGTTTCATATGTGCTGATTTTCTTGATTCCAGGTTCTGTATTTAAAATATTAATTTGTGGTTAAAAATGATCCTTTTAATGAATTAATTCCGAACTAACAATCCAGTCCCACAAGTGTTTGTGAATTGTGATATTCAAACTTGAATTTGGACACAGATCCATAACTCTGTGTGTTCACACCTGTATGAACAGTCCTTTACACCTGAGCAGTTTTACCCTGAGTAGGACTGTCATAATAATTGTTTCCCTACACCTTTTTTCCCCCCATAAAAAAGGGCAGTTGCTAGCTGTATATGCCTGAGAAAATCTGTAAATGAACAATAATACAAACAAGACATTACTTCTCCCTTCACAAACCTTACTTCATGCAGCCAGCTGAGAACACTAGGAGTGTGGTGGGTAATTGGCTTTTCTGCATCCTGTGTTTTTAATCGCCTGAATATACAATCAGCTCAAGGTACATTTCTTGTGCTCTGATGAATTTTAACATAAAGGTTTATTTCCAGATGGATCAGCACTGGAAGAGTTTTTCAGCTGTCTTATAAATATAATTTAAATTAATACATTGATACCAAAACCTTGACACCCAAGAAATTAAACATAGAATTTATTATGTAATTGTGTGGTTATTTTATCTGAGGACATCAAGGTGGCTTTTTAAAAAAATGCAGCATTCTCTAGAGTTCCTTTATGTTATGGCATGAGGTTGACAATGATTGAGGAACATTTGGGTTCAGGTAATTTAGATACAGTTCAAGATACGTCATTTCAGGGTAAAAAACCGCATTGAAACCTTCCATAATTTTTAATTCACTCTTCACATTTATTTCTGACTCAACCAAAACAAGTAAATGAAGCTCTTCTTTCCTGAAACAGTATTTTGGATTAGAGACATCTGTATGAATTCAGTATGAGGGAGTATTAAGGCATGTAATTTCTCAGCTGCAGAAGTCCCATCTAGTTGCACTGTAAAATTGAGTGCAGCATAGTTCATAGGCTGTACATGCACATTTAATTAATGTTGCTGCCAGAGTAAATATGCAGCAGTCTTGGCATACCTCTGCAATCTGTGTTTATGGAAGGTATAGAAACAAATTAGTATGTTGGATGTTGTTTGGGTTTGCACCTGACTCTGATGTAGCTGTGACTTTGACTATGTCATTTAACTTCTACATGCAGCTATTGTCCCAGTTGTAAAGAGAGATAATAATGTTTTCCTTCAGGTGGAAGTTACAAAGTTTTTAGAGCACGCAAGCTCTTGAGGAGAAAGGATTTCTGTACCAGAATTATGAAAGACAATGTAGGCACCTGTAACACTGTTTCGGGCTCTGTTCATTGTCCTGTCCCATGCTGACCTGCTGTGTGAACTTAGCACAAAGAGCCAAGTGACTGAAACTTCACTAAATGAAGCAGTAGTAATTGTATTTACCTATTTCTGTCAGAAGTTTTCATACCCTCAAACCTGCATACCTGCAAGTTTTCATAGGCAATCATCTCGACAACTTGTTGCATCCATGTATTTTTGTGATTGAAGACTACACAATTTCACCTCTCTCACCACCCTTCATAACTGTGAATTAATAGTCATAATCAGAATTGCAGTCTGCACCTACAGATATGCTTTGGTTCATTTAATAGTCTTTAATTTGATTTCAGTGAAGTTTTATTGCAACAAAAGTTTTTAAGTCAGAGTCTGTTCCATCTTCAAGATTGTAGGAGGTCATGGTGATTTACATTCCAACTAGGTGTGATTTTAGCCAACTGTCACATTAGTCAACTGCCTCTGATAACTGTGCATAATTTCTGTATTGTTGTAAATGTGTATTGGCCTGTGATACTACTACATATGCTGTATTTCAGGAAAAACAGAGATTTCTGACAGATGTCCTACATGAAGTGATGTTGCTGGATGGTTTGGCCAGTTCACATCCAGTATCCCAGGAGGTGCAGCAAGCCACAGATATTGACAGGGTGTTTGACTGGATTGCCTATAAAAAGGTAAGGCTAATTAAACTTATGTTTCTCTGTGTACAGTTATGTCAGTAGTTATTAGAAGATCATGTTCTGTCTGTAGAACAAATACCAGTTCAAAAACCCCATACACTACAGTGGCTACTAGTTGGGAAACTTTAATTTGTGTGGAATCTATTTGTAATATACAACAGTGATTTTTTCCAATTAAATTCAACATATCCAGTGCTACTGAATGTTATAAATAATAGATTTGGGGTTTTTTATTACTATTCGTTTTGTAGTGGTGTCTGAATTGTGTTAGATGCTTTAAAAATCAGAACGATGTGTAGTCTTTGTCCTTTTGAAACTCTCTAGGAAAAGGATCCAGTGCTGAAGTTAAATGTAAAGTTTTTTCTGTTTTTTCTATGCATGAGAATTCTTCTGTCAGTCAGTGAAAAGTCTGAAGTCATTGTGGAGCAGTGAGAGTGGAGGAACTGCCTTCTGGTGTGGTAAAGGAATTTAAGGTATTAAACTCAGGCAGTTTCAAATTGTGCTTCAATGAACAGAAGGCCTTTTGGCCAACTTTGGGACTGAACAGCTTCTGGGTAGGAGTGAGAGGGCTGCACACTTTCACCTTCTCCATTTTTATGTCTTTGGGTTGTTAGTATATGGCCCAAAAGCTGGTGATTTCACTCTTAACACATGGTTGTTCTCTGCTACATGCTATATGTAATACTATGCCTTAATATCGTGACCAACGTTTGGAGTGTGATGCAGAAGCTGCTCTCTGCAACCTTCTGCTGTGAAGGCTGCACTGGACATCTCTGCTGATGATTCAGTTACAGGAGTCTTTTGACTATCACCTTTGCATTTGATAATCTTTTCTTCTGCACTATTAGCTGCCTAACATCATACTGACATACACATATGTAACAAGACAGCAGCAGCACAACACTGACTTGCCTACTGAGCCTCCAGTTTATCCAATGCTCATTCTGGGCTAAAAAAAGATGTGTATCCTCTCTTATAATCATCAGTTATTCCCAGTCAGCAATAACTTGAACTTGATGCTTTTCCATGAAAGGATCTCATTTGCCTTTAAGGATGGGCAAATGAGAGTGTGTGTGTGTGTCCATGTAATAGGTGTAGGATGTAATATGCAAACACAGAATACTTAGGGAAATATTTTAAAATGCTGGAATTGCTCAAAAGCCCAAGTAACATTTTCAAAAATCCCTTAGCTGGCTTTGTAAACATTAATCTTGGTCAATTAAGCTGTAATAGCCGGCAGCTTTTAGCATACTGAAGTATTCTCATTGTTTAAATGTTTCGGTCATATGTTTGCTGGTGGTAGCTGAACCTCAGTTCAGCTTAGTATGTTTATAGGCTTATCTCACATCAGTATCTCAATATTTAAAGCTAATTATGTTTTTACTAATATGATAATAGTAATATCACACAGTAAACTGATACTTTACATTTTTTAAATTATGAATACTTTTCAAACATAAGGAATTTTCATTTACATTGAAATGACAAATAGGGCACTAGCTATTTTAGCTATAGTATTAGCTATAGTATTAGTGATAGCTTTTTTATGCAGGGTATTAGGATCTCTGTTTTTGGTGCAGATTAAAGTACAATCTTAACCCTGTATCCTTCCATTTAAAGGTTCCTTTTTCATTGTAACAGTGGCTGTGGCCAATGGATATGGCAGGATCTCCATTCAGCTTCTCTGATAGCCAACTCTCCCGAAGCCTAGGTGACACTTGAATGTGCTCATAGCAGGGCCTGATTCTGTAAATTTTGAGTCTAGATAGGAGATTCCACCTTGAGGAATGGCAATGGAAGAATTTACTAAACACACCTTCATAGGTGAGGAGATTAAAAGACCCAGTCTTTCACCCATGGAGACTTCCTGTCTGATAATTTGCCTGTCTGCTATTTTCTGTAACCATTCATCCTTCTGTTTTAGATACAAGCAGTGTCTAATAGGAAGAAACTTTCCCAACTGACTTCATAACTGCTCTTTTCACTGTTTTTGTATCTTCCTCCAGACACCTGACACTGTTGTCTACTGAGCATAGATTAGAGCAGATTTAACACATTGTAGATCTTACATTGTTTCATTCCTATGTAGCCTTGTAGGCATGCATGCATGGCATGCACTTAAAATCAGCTAGGGAAATAAGCTTATTTGTTAGATAGCTAGAACATTTGCCTATCCTAGTTCTCCAGTGGCTGCAAGTATAAATACTGTTTTAAATGGTATTTCAATAAAATCCAAACTGTAAAATTATACTGAAGGCTTTTACCTGGTCAGGCATGTGCCTCAAAGTCCTCCTTACACAATGAGCCCTGCTAGAGGGATGTTGTTGCCAGTGTTTCTGGGATGGCTTTTTGTTTACTGACTGATTTTGTAAATTGCTGTCAAGTATTAAGTTCTCAGGATATTTTTCTGTTGACTTTAGTATAAACTTTGGATCAGGACCATCATTGATGACTTTTCCACTGTCTTAAAAAAACAGCTTGTTTTTGAACAGTCTAGGACTATGTGCAGTATCTTTTCCCTACATTTTGGTAAGGTTTTATTTCATTCTCTTTTCTTTTCTTTTTCTTTTTTTATATGTCCATCCTGTGCTCCCTGGGACCTTGGATTGTCGTTGTGATCTCTTTTCTCTCTTCACGGTTCTCTACACGATATTGAAATCATGAAACTTTCTCCCATCTAATTTTTATTCAGTGAAATGACAGTCATAGAATGTCATTGTCATTTCATTGTCTTTACTGTCATCACTGTGGCATAAATCAATTAGACACCATTAAAGTGCCCATCTCTGCTAGGCACTCAGCTGTCATTTTCAAGATATGCCTTTTTCTATACACTTCAGAGATGATCATTGAAACTATGCTATTTAAATATCTTGGAGCTGAATATATTTTTCATTTCCACTTTCTTGTCCTCGGTGGTTGCACATGTTGAGAAATCTCTTGACATAAGCCTCTGAAGAATGGCATTCAGGTAGTCCCACAAGCAGAGTGAAACAGATACTACAGCCAGCAGCACACAGTTTTTCCATGTAAGCTGTTGAGGGTAATGTTTGCCTCTTTCAAAAGCATCATACTAGGTAGACATTCTTTAGATAGGAATGTGTCATCCTTCACTAGGGTCACAAATATATAGAGAAAAATAAGAAGTTGTGATAGTTTGTTAATAAACAGTAGTGGTAGAGGATTCAAGTCTCTCAATTTACATCAGAGGGGGTAGGTCTTCCTATTGCAGCTGAAAGTGAGAGAGTGTCCTCCCATGATGATGGGAAAAGTGGTTATATCCCAAGTGCAGTAGGAAATATAGCCAGCTGAATACAAGAGTGGATCTGAGAATTGTTAAAGCAAAAAGCATGACAGCCTTTCCACACCAGAAATAACTGACAGCAGGAGTCATAGTCCTCAAGAGCTGCATCGACAGAGGAGGAGAGAGTACAGCAAGAATAACTTGAGAAGGAACAATCAGTGAGGAACAACTGGCATTAATAAAATGGAGAAACAAGACAGCTGCATCTCAAAGGGGGCAGCCAGATCCAGAACAGCATGAGAGAGAGAGAGATCCCAGACAGAACTAAAGGAGTCATGGCCCTAGATGAGCAGTCACAGCCAGGTAAGAGAAGGGATGAAAGGGCACCAAGGACACTGTAGAGAGCCAGATAATATCTGAAGTCATTTCAGGCAGCCTGCTGCATGCTTTGAAGCATGCTGGTTGAAGATTCTGGCAGCAATCACAGCAAGCAAGACCAGCATGATGGAGTGTAACTATAAAAGTACCCCCAGTAGAATATGTCTTGGCAAGTGACAAACAATAATCAAAACAAGGAAGAGGATGACTGGAATAGTTTAGAATATCCCTTCTTTTCTTCCCTGAAGCAAAATTAACCTCAGTAGTGAGATCAGTTACTGGCCCTGGCTTTTTAATGCAGGCAATTCATTATTTCCTAAACATGTATGTGCAATTTCTTTTTCCTTCTTAACTATATGCCACTTCTTTGAAAATGCTTTTCCCTGCTTTCTGTGTTAAGTGATGGAAGGAAAATATATTTCTAATAACAATAATGAGAGACCATGCTTCCTGCGTCCCCTCAAAGGCAATGTTCTGTGTTAGGAAATCTGTTCAACTAAAAATTTGCACAAAGGAAATGCTCAGCTTCCCTGTATGTTGCAGTAACAGTTCTGGCAAAGGAGAACACAAGAAATTGAAAGCAGTGGCTTGCTTACCCTTTTGAGTGTAATTCTCTGAAAATTTACAGCATAATATGTTCTGCAAGACTATGGAAGAACAGGAAGGATAACTGCACTCACTGGAAAGTCTCTCTAAGAACCTGGTTCTTTTTACTTCTGTTCTTCACACATTGGGAAGGATATTGGCACTGTAATAACAGAATAAAACAAAAACCCCAAGGCATGTATTCTTCCCAGTAAAACCAAGATTAGTATCAGAGTGAAAGCCACTCAGTTTGTGAGTGCAATTAATTTGTCACAGTGTGCTTCTATGAAGTGACCATAGGAAAAGTGAGAGCAGCTCATTAATAATGAAAGAAATTCTAGATAAATACCTGTAAATAGTAAACCGTAGTAAAATAGGTTTTATTTTTAATTATTCAGTTAACTAAATCAATAACATAAGATGGTATCCAGCTACTTAAAAGTCTTACAATACAATGCAGGTAGCTTTACAATCAACACCCGTACCACAGTGTAAAGGGAGAGCTCTGTTTTCCCTGACTAATTTAGCTGTGATGTTGCCCGTGAATGCCATCAAATCCTGGGTGAGCATTTTGCGATGCTGGTTTCTGTTCCATGACTTGCAAGTGCAGCAAGTCAGTGCCCAGATTGCAGAAGGTGCTTTCAGGAGCCATTTGTTTGTGATGCATTGTAACAGGGGAAGTATCTTGTAGTAAAAATAATTGCTTTTTATTTAGATAAAAAGATCATAAGTCACTACTGCTTCCAATATGAAAGATGTTGAAAGTCAGAGTTAGTGAAACCTTTAG